CCAGGGCTTCACTCAGTTCTCCTGTGGGAAAGAACGTGGGCCAGCTTCCTTCTGCTGCTTTCCCAGACACATCAGCAGGGAGCTGGATGGGAAGTGGCGTTTCCAAGACTCAAACTGTACCCACATGGGATGCTGGCATTTAGGCAGTGCCTTTAGCCTCTGTGCCACGACATGAATGATTTCCTGAGTTCTGTAGGCAAGCCTGGGGTCTGGCCCAGTGTGAAAGTAGTGGTGAGCTGAGGTCCCAGCTTCCCAGCCCTGCGTGTTGCACCCCTAGGGGACTGTTCCCACCTAGGCTGGCCGAGGCCGCAGGGAGAGGCTCTGAGGAGAGACATCTGATTTCTTTTCATCCTAGACATCAGAATTAAGTCCATGGATTACAGCTTTAAACACAAAAATCCGATGCACAGAATGAAAATAAAAGGAAGTGGCTTCAGAATCTTGGGTGGGAAATCCTTGCTAAATGTGAGACTGAAGTCTGAAGCCACGATGGAAAAAAACAGATGAACTGGCTACGAAACGTTTAAAATTTTGCCATCATTATGCACAAAGCTAAAAATAAGTGACAGGGTGTGGGTGTTGCGGCACAGCGGTTAAGCCACGGAAGCAACACTGGCTGGCATCCCATATCGGAGTGATGATCCGAGTCCCAATTATTCTACTTCCGAGTCAGCTTCCTGCTAATATGCCAGGGAATCAGCAGATGTTGGCCAAAGTGCCCACAAGAAGACCGGGCTAGAGCTCCTGGCTCCTGGCTTTGACCTGGCCCAGGCCTGGTTGTTGCGGCCATTTGGAGAGTGAGCCAGCAAATGGAAGCACACACACTCTCTCTTTTTCTCTTTCTATTCCTGCTTTTTCCTTTTGACTGAACCCTGTTCCTCAGAGACCCCAGGGGCTCACTGCACTCACCTCTGCCCTCCCAGTGTTCACAAGGTAAACGGGCATGGCTATGTTGCAAGGAAGTGTTTACAAAAATAGGCTGCTACCTTTGGCTCCTAGTGACAATAACCGGCTATCCTCTGACTTACCCCAAAGCGCCAAGCAGCTGACTCAGGCAGAGCAGCCCAGAGGGACGGGGGTCTTGAGACGTCCACGGTGGGAGGAGGGAATCCACCGGGGAGGGGCCACCAGGGACTGTGTTCCTACTGTGCAATGTGTGGAATCCTTGCATTCACTCCCCAAGCCACTGTTCCCGATCCGTTCCCTGGGGGTACCAGGGAACCTCCCAGCAAGACCCCAGGCTCTGGCTGGCTCCTGGTATCAGGCTGACCCCTAGGGGTCAGCTGAGACACAGCAGGACACCAAGTGCCTGGCCTGCAGGACTGGCCTACTCCCCTCCACCCACAGTCCTGCCTGTGATCTTGCTGCTGCTGCAGGACCTGGAGCTGGAAGGAGACTCATGCTGCCCAATTTACCCCTCCTGACATGCAAAGCCCAGGTCAGCTGAGCTGCCTGGAGGAGCAGAACAAACAGGGCCAGCAAGGCTGCCCACATTGTCCACCCATCCATCGTCATCCCACTGGACCTGGGCCAACCAGCCACCTGTCAGGGTCAGAAAGGGGTTTGCCTGGGAGGAGTGAAAAACCCAAACCCAGAGAAACCAACACGCAGAACCAGTCCCAGAAGGATGGCGAAGGTGACCGACACCATCCTTCAGCCACCCCTTGCCCACTGGAATTGGGAGGGAAAACTGTATTTCTGCACAAAGAGGAGTAGGGAACGCATGGTTCTGCCCTCCAGGACTTGGGGCGCAGGGTGGACACAAACCCAGAACACCAGGATTTGAGGGTAAGAGGAGCGGGGGTGAATTGGCACCACCTCTTAGCTTGGTCCCAGGACAGCACAGGGCCTGTCTGCTTCCTCGGTGGGTCTCCACAACAGATAAACTGGATTAGAATGGCCCCACTTCTCAGCAAACTGACTTGAGAGGAACTTGCCCAGGGTTGTATGACGGTCTGTGGCCAAACTGGGGGAAGCGCCCAGTTCTGGTTGACCTCACAGACTGCCTCCTCAACCTGCCTCCTGCTCAGCACTCCACCAAGGGAAAGGGCCACCCCGAAAGTCCTTCGGAGTCCTCGGTGTTCTGTTCACCCTGGGGAGAAGCACTGCTCCTGCGAGCTGACATCACCCTCCCCCAGCCTCTCTCAGCACCTGCCTCCTTCCAGCAAGGCTCCGCCCCACACCTGGGGCCTGGCTTTGGTCCCAGTTGGCATCTGGCTGGGTGACAACATCCAGAGGCCCTTGCTTAGGACTGAGTTACTGCACTAGCCCAACGTGCCACCCCAAATGGAGAAGAGCTCGCCACTCCCCAAGCTGAAAAGCAGTTGTTCATTTACCTTCTAGGAAATTAGGAGAGCGAACAGGCCCATCCCCCAGCAGGCAAGTGTTGCCCTCCGCCTTAACCCTGACAAAAACAGGAAGCAGAAGTAATCCGCTGACCAGTCAGTTATCTCCTCCTTGCCCCCCACCTTACAAAATCCACAGGAAGTGCTCATTCTACCTTCCTGTGAAGGTGATTTAGGAATTGCAAATGCACACCGGAAACCAACGTGCTGCAATACGTGCTGCAATTCTGTCTCCCCACGGGGCTGGGGCCTTCTCCTTCAAGCCGGCCTCCCCTGTCCTCCACCCAGGGCCCTCTTTCTGGGCTCTCCCTCTCCCGCCTGCCTGCACCCAGCTCCACTGTCAAAGGGCCACCATGGAGCCGGGAAAAGCATCCATGTATTTGGGGGCCATCCCGAGCTGGGGGTCAGGATGAGGAAACAGAATCATCACAGCTCCAGGGGGCTTCAGTCAGAGGGTCTTGAGGCCGTCAATGCCTCCCCGTGCTGGGCAGGAGAGCCCAGTGTCACACAGGAACACAGGCTGGGCGGGGCCAACAGAGGCGGAGCAGAACTGAGGATTGCTGGTTAGCAGCATGGTTGGCAGTTGCTGGTCCGCAGAAGGACGATGCTGCCATGAGAGTGCGAGGGAGCTGAAAGACTGCCATTGCCTAGTGGGGTCTTATCCATCCCGCCACTGCAGCACATGGCGCGCCCACGTGACCGTGGTGACCGTGGCACCCCTGGTGCAAACACACCTGCTGCACTGCACACACAACCACACACAGCACGCAGGACCCAATCACACAGCAACACGCTACCTCACACACTTCCTGGACCAGGCTTTCGGTTACTGAATCTTAGATTTCTATTTATTTGAGAGAGAAAGGGGAAGGATAGCAGAGTGCATGCACTTCCATCTGTTGGGTCACTCACCAAACGCCCTCAGTGGCCTGCACGATGTCAGGAGACAGCAGTGCAATCCAGGTCCCCGGGGCAGGTGGCAGGAATCCCATCCCTTGAGCCACCACTGAGGATCCCATTCCTCGAGCCACCAGCGCCGCCTCCAGGGGCTGCACCAGCAGGAAGCTGCGGGTGGGGAGCCACAGCGGGTCCTGGACCCACAGCCTCAGATACAGGATGCGGGAACCAGAGAGACTTGCCTTCAGCTCCCAGGCCTCGACTGCAGGCAGCCGGGGAGTGAACCAGCAGAGAGGCACTCTCTGTCTCTCCGCCACTCAAATTCACAAATAAAAATAAAAGAATCAATCATGCTTCCAGTTCTGTGACATCACACTGAAACTGTTTATCCAACCTCCTGGGAAATCCCAATCCGGCCAGTACCAGCTGGCGTGGGGTTAAGGTTCCCTCTGCTTTAATCCTCAAACAGAAGTCACTAGAAACAACCTGATGTGAACTGCCCAGTCATGTCCCTTGTGCCCACTGCACGAGTGGACAATCCACGGTGGACGACCGGTCCACTCTCTGCCTTTGGTTCCTGCTATCGCTAACACAGGCTTCCTTTGCTCGGAGTACCGGCATGCTTTATCTTTTATGAAGTATTGCTGAATCCCAGGATTGAAGCAAAATCGATTAAGACGGTTGTAACTGAGCCCTTGGACACATGGGACAGCAGGTCATTGTTGCAGCCTCACATACCTCGCACTGACCAGGACAGCATCCAGGGCCAAGCCCTGCCTGCGAGCTCTGAAAAGGTGCTGCGCTTGAAGGTCGCACAAGGACAGAGCAGTCCACCTGCCAGCAGACCCTTCCACCCTTGAGCGCATGCGGGCTCTCCGAGCGTTCCTACACCCCCAGACACTTCCCTGCAGGAGTGGGGCACACCTGAGGTTATTTAAGCAGGGTCTTGGGGTGGGGCCCCAGAAAGCCCACATCTGGGACTGGAAAGAAGGGGGCCCTCTCAGGTCCACTTACCCCCAGGAGAGGAGGCACTGGAGCTTGGGAACCACCAGATTCTGTGGAAGGGGGGAGCTGGCGTACACACTAGCGTGTGGAAGCTGGTGCTGTGACGGTGTGGGAGCTCATGCCCACCCCCATCCGTGCCCTGGCCTCTGCATTCTTTCGTTTGGCCATTCCCAAGTTGTACCCTCAGCAATAAACCAATCGCCTCAAGGGCAATGTTCTCTGTTCTAGTGAATTATTGAACCAGAGAGCAGGGCGGGGAGTCCCGGGTTGGGGACGGGGTGGAGGAAGGAGGGAGGCTGGGCAGAAGTGTGAGTGGCCTGGCATCTGGTCTGTGGCTCAAGTCTGGAGTGGGAGCAGGTGGGACTGACCCTGAACTTGTGGGGTCTGTCGCTAACTCCGGGAGAGCTCGTGTCAGACTGAACTGAGTGGCTGGACATGCAGCTCATGTCAGGGAACTAAGGAAAAACCACCCAGGGCCTGTCGCACAGACGTGACAGTGCCGGGCTGGTGGAGAGGAGAGGGAGACAAAGTGGCAGCCGTGCCTGCCTGGCCTCCAGCCTTGCCCACAGCTGTCCCTCCTGGGGCTCAGGTCCCCCTTCATCTCAGTGACCGGAAGTAAAGAGACTCTGCAAGGCCCGCCCCCCACACCATAGCTCCTGACCCAGACAGCACGTCCTGACTTGGCAGCCATGCCCTGGCCCACCCGGACCTGGCGACAGCGCAGTGCCCGCCCACAGTGTGGCGGGGTCCTACCTCCTCCACGCAGTCGGGGATCTCAGGCGCGCAGGGCAGCGTTCCCGCGCTCTCCACGGACAGCACGTCCCGCAGCAGCTCCTCGCACCCTGTGAGCAGGTAGACAGGCAACGTGTGGTCAGCGTCTCGGCTAGGCCCGGCCGCTCTGCTGTGACAGCAGGCCCTGAGTGGGAAGGGACTGAGGAAAGCTGGTGGTCCTGGTCTTCAAGGGGCAGGGAGGAGGCATCTGGACAAAGGGAGCTCAAATGGTGCCCTTTTACTGGGACCAAGAGAGAGTCACCAGTGCAAAAGGGCAGGCTCTGTGTGGAGGCAATCCAAGAGGCCTTCCTGGAGGAAGGGATATGAGATGGCATTGCCACGTCAACCTCCCCCTGAGGCTGAGCAGTCTGCCAACTCCTTCCCACTCCAGGACACCTAGGACAGGGCCACCCTCAGAGGGCTCTACCTCCTGTGGACTCTGTCACACAGGTCGTCTCCCCCCATATCCTTGAGCAAACACCCCAAAGTCACATCCAATAGGCTCAGGTATCCCGTAGATGCAACCTGTGGTGGTCCAAAGGTCCAAACAAACCCCATGTCCTCGACGGGAACCTCCACACGCCGTCCCTGACCCTCGGCTCACTCCCTCTGACGCGGCTGCTGTATGCTTCCCACCTGTGAAGGCCAAGCCACCCCTACAGGGAAGGACTCTGGCCCCAGTGACAGCCAACACGGTGGCGGGGAGGTGAGGAGCAGGAAGCACAGTCCCCTTCACAGGGAGTGGGGTGCCTGGAGTACCCAGAGGCAGCACGCAGAGGTGGGCACTCATGCTAAGTCACATTCTCAAATCAGCCCAGTAATAGGAGCGGCACCATCCCGGCACCACAACTGGCTTTTGGATTCAGGAGAGACAGGAGATTTTACGGTGCGTCCTTCAACAAGGGGGAGCGGGAAGAGAGGGTGTCAGGAGGGGCTGAGAGACACAGGGAGGGAGGGAGTGGCCCTGCCCACTGCTGTGGGCTTGGGAGGCTCCTGGGAGCCTGGGACCCTAAAGGGCAAGACGGAAGAGGGGACATCAGTGAGGAGGCAGAGATGCCCACCCAGCCCTGACTGAGCAGGGAACACCGCGGCAGAAGGTTAGGGAGACCCACAGTCCCACAGCTGCCAGGGCTGGCGTGGCTATGGGAGCCCAAACCCTCTCCCGCATCTCCCATGGGTCACCAGGCAGACTCGCTTACAGAGGCCACCCAGGGGGTCCCTGGGACCCCTAACGAATCTGCCATGCCAGTCTCCCTACTGAGGGAACAGGACACAGAGGGACCCCAGGACTCATCCCTCACCTTTCATGGCGAACACCCCCCGGCAAAAGTCCTTGAAGTTGATCCTGCCCAGGTCGTGGGGATCCAAGTACTTGACAAGTTTCTCCACCTGAGGGAAGGCAAGAGGACACGTGTGAGTCCGATGCTGACAGCCCGAGCGTGCGAGAGCAGCCCACCTGACCCTCTCCCTTCATCCCAGGTTAGCACCAGGCTAGCCCGCTGCGAGGTCTCTTCTGGGATCCAAGAGCAAGCTGGGACACGCACGGGGACAAGCGGGGACGAGCAGCCCAGCCCCTTCCCCGTGGGCAGCCGACGGGCGGCCATGGAGGAGGTCAAGGCTCCAGGGGACTCTTTGGCGGCTCTTCAGCACAGAACTGACACAGACTCCACGCCAGACACCCAGCTATTGTCCTAAGAAAATCTTAGCCATGTTTTACAAATTTTACTTTTGTGCTTTGTAGTTCTGAGACCCTTGGTCAAATCCCTATCAACAGGATTGGACAAACACAGTGCATGGCAGTTGCATCAGTGATTGGAAATTCCAGGTTTGGGACCCAGCACAGTAGCCTAGCGGCTAAAGTCCTAGCCTTGAACGTGTCGGGATACCATATGGGCGCTGGTTTGTGTCCCAGCTGCCCCACTTGCCATCCAGTTCCCTGTTTGTGGCCTAGGAAAGCAATCAAGGATGGCCAAAAGCCTTGGGACCCTGCACCCACGTGGGAGACCCAGAGGAAGCTCCTGGCTCCTGGCTTTGCATCAGCTCAGTTCCGGCTGTTGTGGTCACTTGGGGAGTGAATCAGAGGATGGAAGATCTTCCTTTCTGTCTCTCCTCTCTGTAAATCTGACTTTCCAAAAGAAATAAGTAAATCTTAAAAACAACAAAACCGAAAACAAAAAACAAAAAAAAAAACCCCAGAAAATCCCAAGTTTGGAGCAAAGCCAAGGATGGCTGTGATGGGAGGCAGTGTGGCAGGTCTTTTCATCAGTTTGAAAGCAGTATGACAGAGGTGTAGAGAGACACCCTCCACGGGCTGGTTCGCTCCCCAGCTGAACAAGGCTAGGAGCCTGGAACTCCATGTCCCCGGCTGAGTGCTCAGCTGCTGCCTCCCAGGGTGCGTGTTGGCAGGAAGCTGGGTTGCAAGCGGAACTGAGGCTCCAGTATGGTTGTGGGCCTCCCAGGTGTGACTCAACCTCGGAGACAGACGCCCACCCCAACTCCTGGCTCTCACAAGGAGAGCCTGGGGTCTTCCGCAGCTGGCTGATAGCCTCTCCAGTCCTTGTCAGTTGCCTTTCTCCCCCAGTCCACTTCAAATACCCACATCCCTGGGTAAGCTGGCCACCGCCCTCTCCGGGACCAGTGGCTTGGATGGTCCAGTTTGCTGGCCCTGTCCTACCCTTCCTGCCACAGCATGGCAGAGCTTGCTCCCTCTCTCGCCTGCATCCAGCCTGGGCCCCACTGTTCCCCACAGCTACCTTCTTTGCACACCACCCCTTGGACCCACCCGTCTACAGCTGTCACCATTGCCCTCCTTGGCCATGCACATGTTTCATCGGACTGTCCCACTCAGTAGACCCTGGCACCCACCCTGGAGGCAGCCTCTGACTGCCTCTCCTCCCACGTTCTCCATCACTGACAGCACCCGAAGCAATGAAGCTCTTGGCTGCCTCAGGGCCCGGCACGTGCTGCTTTCCCTGGGGTGCCTGTCTTTCCTGTGGCCGTCTGTCTGGGCCTCCCTGTGCAGCTCTGTCCTGACCATGCCCCTGTTGCTGGGGTCCCCCTCTGCTGTGGCCCAGCCTTGAGGTATCCTAGGTTTTCGCCTCTAGACTCTGGGTTGCAGTCTGTAAATATGGGTTCCTGTAATGGTTTGAGTCATTTGTGCCTTCTCTCTACAGAGGGAGCTCCTGGGGGGCCAGGGCTGTGCCTGTGTTGATCACCACTGTACACCTGCTGGTCCCCACCGGACCTGGCATGCGGCACAAGTTTCACATATATTTAGCGAGTACAGGGACCCGAGCGGTTCCACAACACATCTTGATGCTTAAGGCTTTTGATACAAGTTGCCAAATTCCTCTCCAAAAATACATCTCAATCAGAGTAACTTGGAGCTTGCCAGCCCGTGGTATTTTTTCCCTGGTTTTTGGCCATAGCTAACTTCATAACAATTGGCTTTTCTAACGAATTGGGGGTGCCCCGTCTCTGGCCCCCGAAAATTTTCAACACTTGAATTTCAGAGCTTTGACAGGTGTGGTTCTAGAGGCTTTCTTCTAAGTCAGTCTGGCATTGAGAGGGCCGCTGTTCCTCAGGGCACGTGGGTGTACACACACACACGCACACACACGCACACACACACACACACACTCACACTCTCATTCACATTCCCTTCTGCCACACAGCATGGCTGAGAGCCACACATGCCAGACCCATGGCGGTAGCTGCTGCTCCTGCTGGTTAAGCACACATGGGCACACAGACCACACACAGGCACACATGGGCACAGGGGTGGGGAGAGGAGGCTACACACCCTCACTGCAGGCACCTTGCATCTCCCCTGGTAATCCTTGTCAATATTTACTGCACAGCCAGGCCCTTCTAGAACCCTCTCTGGCTTCATTGCTCACCATGGGAACACGGTCTGGTGTGCAGGGAAGGAACTCCTGCGCCTGCTAGGACTGTTGATGTGGTCAGGGAAGACTCGCCATGCCCTTACACCACCTGCCATGCGCCCCAGGTCCAAGTCTAGTCATGGGCGCATTGCATTTCCCTTTGAGCGTGGCAGGTGCCACAGGGGTCCGCAGTCCTGGTCAGTGCCAGTGACTTAGCCTGCTGGAGTGGGGCCCTGGAGGGTACGCAGGGGCCAAGGAGCCCCCACCTCAGCCCCTCCACCCTCCTTGAGTATGCGGCTCTGGCTCGTGCCGTTATTCCAGCCTGTCCTGCCTTCCCACCCTGGCATGGGGTTGGGGTGAGGGCCGGGCAGAAGGGTCCATGTTCCCTCTGAGACCTCTGAACCCATTACCTGGTGGGCTTTATAAAGAGCCTGAAGGAGGAAGGTGGCTTTTTAGCAGCTTATGCGCAGCCAGAGCCACCTCAATATTGCTGCCACCACCTCCACCCTTTCTGACACTGCCAGGCACTGACGCGACCTCTGAGAACAGCAATGCCAGGTGACACCTGCAGGAAGTGGGGCAGCCCTCGCACCAGCCCAGCAAGTGGCACCTCCTCTTCCTGCTCTCTCAAGGTGGGTGTGGGCGGAATTGCCGAACATAAGCATGGGCTAGGACACCCGCATCTCAGGCCTCTGCAGCCCCAGCTCCGCCCAGACAGTCCGTGCTGAGGCCTCATTCTAGACCTTCATTTCCTGTGGTGCCAGTCAAGGGTGGAGTCTGTGCCTGAGTGTGGAGCAACTGAGAAGGAACCCCAACTTCAAACCCACCCAGAGAGCAGCAGGGCTCTGTAACCCCTGAGCGGCTGACGCTCCGGGACTGGGGGACGCAAAGGCAGGGTGGGTACTGTTTACTGAGAAGCAGCCAGCCAGTCCCTAGGGCACCCTAGAGCAGTGCAGGGTCCCCATCTGCTGTGCCCTCCTTTCTCTGTGGAGCCCCTTAAATGCAGTGGCCACAGATGAGGGTTCCGCACTGCCTTGCGGCCCTTCACCAAGCAGGCCATTGTGAAGTGATTTCCACACCACGCGGTGACTGCTGCCCTCACAGACTCATGGGCACCAGGGACCCCCAGCGCACAGGCAGCGGGGTGTGGGTAACGCCTGCTGGAGCCACGGCAGGCCACTAGGACGTGAGCCTAACAGCGTGGGTCATTCTTAGGACAATTCCAACAGCAGCAGTGTTTGCGGCCGCGAAAGAGCCTTCTCCTCTACTAGGGCCGGACCCCTCAGCAACTCTTGCCCTTCCTGGCCACGGGATAACCTTGTCCCCCTCATTCTGCTGATCAGTTCCTCTTTCCATCAGCAGACAGGCAAAGTCCCAGGCAGTGCAGGGATGGGCAGAGGCTGTTGAAGGTCGTGCAGGGCAGTGCAGCAGGTGACCCACCTGCAGGGCATGGGGGACTAGCGGACACACACACATCGTGTGGCTGAGCAGCCCCGGGGGCTCCTGGCTGGTGAGGCCTGGCTGGCAGGGTCCACAGGAGCAGCTATCGCCAAGCACTCCCAGCTGGCTGCAGAGCTTGCTGCCAGGGAAACAGGCAGCTCCCTGGCAATAAAACACTGATCTTTCCTTTTTTGGGGCCACTCAATTACCAGGCTTCCCCATTCTATTTCTGTGGCCTTTTTCTTCAGGCTGCTGTCTGCTCCCTCCCATTCATTCCACAGGGTCATATCTCTTCAGTGGAGCCCAGACGGTGGGGAAGGTTGCACTGCTGCTGTCACCACTACACGAACTGATCACCAGCCAGATCCTCCCTGAGCCCGCCCCCACCTCCCTGATGGCCAGGACTGCAAGGCCAAACGGGGTGGGCCCTTCATCCTTCTGGGATCCCACTGCCATGTCTCAGAAGAAGGGGGTCAGCCTGCTTATGGTGCCACTATGAGGCTCTGTGCATACAGTAAGGGGCCTAATAAACACTGGCCACGCCACTACCAAGGCAGTCAGCATGTCCCCTAAAGGACAGACTTTAAGCCCGGGGTTAAGACAACTGTGTCAACCTGGCACAGTGGTGCAGCAGCTAAAGTCCTCGCTTTGAACATGCCAGGATCCCATATGGGCACTGGTTCTAATCCTGGCAGCCCCATTTCCCATCCAGCTCCCTGCTTGTGGCCTGGGAAAGCAGTCAAGGATGGCCCAAAGCCTTGGGACCCTGCACCAGTGGAGACCTGGAAGAAGCTCCTGGCTTTGGATTGGCTCAGCACCAGCTGTTGCGGCCACTTGGGGAGTGAATCAATAGATGGAAGATCTTCCTCTCTGTCTCTCCTCTTGTATATCTGACTTTCCAATATAAATCCTAAAAAAAAAAAAAAAAAGACAGCTGTGTTGTCCCCCAGAGTGCCTGGGGTCAAGTCGGCCTGTGGTTCTTGACTCCAGCTTCCTATGAATGTGTACTTGGGGAGGGGGTGGGGGCAGCTCAAGTGCTTGGTCCCTGCTACACACTGGATATCT